GATAATTACTTTTGTAATCCCCAGGCTGCCTTTTTGCAGGTGTAGCAATTTCTTTTGCTCTGTGAAAGTTTTAAAACACCATGTAGAAAAGAACAAGGCAAGAGTTTGGTCTTGCTTTTGTTTCTATTAGGAAGTTTGTTTATTTATTTATTACTTGTAGTTGTCCAGTTTTCCCAGCACCACTAGGTGAAGAGACTTTCTTTGCTCCACTTCACATTTTTTGCTCCATTATCAAACATTAAGTGATCGTTTAATTGAGAGTCTGTGTCAGAATATTCAACTCTATTCCATTGGTCTGTGGGTTTGTTTCTATTCCAATACCATGCTTTGTAGTACAGTTCAAAATTGGGGAAGTTCATGCCATCCAACTTCTTTTTTCCAAGGATTGCTTTAGTTATTTGTGGGGGTTATTGTTCCATATGAATTTCAGGAATGTTTTGTCTATTTTTTTTTGAAAAATGTCATGGGTATCCTCATTGAATGGGTATAATGCTTAGGGAAATGCTGCCATTTTGACAATGTTAGTACTCCCAATCCAGGAGTAGGGGCTCTGTCTTCATTTCCTAGGGTCCCCCCCCTTTTTTTTAACTGAAGTAGTGTTTTTTAGTTTTCTTTATATAGGTCTTTTACTTCATTAGTTAAGCTGATTCCAAAGTACTTGATTTTATGCGGCACTATTTTGGATGGGATTTTTTTTTTAGTATCTCTTTCTTCTTTTTCATTACTTGTATATAGGAAAGCCATGGATTTTGGGGTATTGATTTTCGTAACCTGTCACTTTACTATAAAAATGTATTATTTCTAGGAGCTCTTTTGTAGAGTATTTAGGATTTTCTATATATAGTATCATGTCATCTGCTAATAGTGATAGCTTGACCCCTTCCTTTCATATCTGGATTCCTTTGATATCTTTTTCTTGCTTAACTGCTATATCATGTACTTCTAGCACTATCTTAAATACAAGTAGCAAGAATGGGCAACCTTGTCTTGTCCCTAATCTTAGAGGGAAGGCTTTTTAGTTTTTCCCCATTGAGAATAATGGTTGCTGTGGGATTGTTGTAGATGGTTTTGACTATACTAAGGAAAGTTCCTTCAACTCCCATTCTGTTGAGAGTTTTTATCGTGAATAGGTGCTGGATCTTGTCAAATGCTTTCTCTGTATCTATTGATATGATTATATGGTTTTATCTTTTCTTTTATTTGCATGTTGTATTATGTTGATTGACTTGAGCGATAAACCATCCTCGTATCCCTGGATGAATTCTATTTTGTCGTGGTGTATGATTTTTTTGGTGAATCATTCATTGGATTGTGTTTGCTCGTATTTGGTTGAGAATCTTTGCATCTGTGTTGATCTGGAATGTCGGCCTGTTATTCTTTTTCTTTGTGGTCTCTCTGTCTGCTTTTGCTCTACCCATATTTTGATGGGCTTTTTGGTTGTTGATCTTTGTATTTCATATATCCTGGATATCAACACTTTATCTGATGTGTTGAGGGCAAATATTTTATCCCATTCAGGTAACTTTCTTTAAGTTTTAGGCAATATTTAATTTGCCATACAGAAACTCTTTAATTTTATGTAGTCTCATTCCTTTTCTTTTAATTCTTTCACCTTTGCCAGTGGCATTGTATCACTGAAAATATCATTGAATTCCAAAGCTTGGGGAATTATGCCTATATTTTTCTCAGTGTGTTTTAAAATTTCTGGTATGATCTCAAAGTTTTTGTCCACTTTGAATTATTTTTTGGGTAAGGTGCAAGATACAGATCCAGCTTTAATTTTTTCACATTGTGATCCATTTTTGCTAGGACCAATTGTTGAAGAGGCTTTCTTTACTCCATTTCATGCTATCACACTCTTTTGTCAAAAATTAACTGACCAGATATGTGGGGTGTGTCCTTGGATATTCTATTCTGACCCTTGAACAGAGAATGTAAAGGTTGCCCTTTTTCTTCACAGTATTCATCAATAAATTTATGGAAATTCTTGCCACAGTAGTCAGGCAAGAAAAAGAAATCAAAGGAATCAAGATTGGAAAAGAGAAAGTTAAATTTATTATTTGCAAATGCCATGAAAATATATAGAAAACCCTATATAATGCATAATATAAATTCCATATGACAGTTTATAATATAAACCTGATATATATTATATATGATCCCTATAAACCATTTGAACCCTATATGATACTTTATATGTAGGAAACCCTAGATATTACACCAAAAAAACCTCTTAGAAACAAAGTGGTGCAGCAGTGTCACAGAATTAAAATGCAAACATCTGTGGCATTTTTTTATGCAAATAAAGAATTGAAGGAGAAAGAAGACAACTCCCTTTAACATGTTGCCCCATGAGCTGGAGAGTTAGTGCAGTGGGCAGCATGCTTGCCTTGCATGTGGCTGACCCAGGTTTGATCCCTGGATCCCCCTATATGGTTCCCTGAGAACTGCCCGGAGTGTTGTTACCTTTTTGCAGAACCAGGAGTAAACCTTGAGCACTGCCAGATGTGTCTCAAAAATAGTAAATAAAAGTGTTCCAAACAGCAGATACCTTTAAACCGGTAAAAGAATGTAAAAGACATGTGAAAATTATAAGCCATTATTGAGAGAAATAGTAGAGGACAACATTAAATGGAAAATCACTTCTTAGTCATGGTTTGAAAGAAATAACTGTGGCAAAATGACCAACCTTCCCAAATCATTATGAAGACTTATTGCAATTGCCATTAAAATGTATGTGATGTTCTTCAAGAAGTTGAAACAAATCTATTTATAATTGCATGAAACCCTAAAACTCCCTGAATAGCCAAAGCTATTTTAAGAAAATGAAAAATAAAACAACAAAAGGGAGCTTCCTGACTAGAAAGCTATAGTAATCAAATCTGCTTGGTACTGGAATTGAGGTTGATTCTCAGACTAATGTAACAGAATTGTGAGTCCTGAGATAAAATCTCAGATTTAAGGACAGTTATTCCATGGCAAAGGAGCTAAGAACATGATATGTCTCAAAGGAAATATTATTAGCAAATGGTATCGGAGAAACAAGTTAAAATGATGAAACTAAAACTGTATCTAACACTATTCACAAAAGTTTATAATAATAGATTAAAGACCTCAAGACTATACCAGAGTCTTTAAAATGCATTAAAATATGAGCAGAAATTTACAGGAAATAAACCTCAGAAGTGTCTTCAATAATTTGACTCCAGAGGTAAAATCAACAAAACCAAAAATAAACAAACGGGACTGCATCAAATTAATTTTGGGAGATGGCATACCCAGTGGGTCTCAGGACTTATTTCTGGCTCAGTTCTCATGTATTGCTCTTGGAAGTGCTCAGGGAAGCATATACCCTGGAGGGGCACCTTACTACCTGTACTATCTTTCTAGCCCCCAAAATGAAAAAGCTTTGCATGGAAAGAGAAATACAGGCTAAAATTAAAAGTCATCTTATTGAATGAGTGAACATATTGGCACCCAAGACATCAAACAATGGTCTCATATCTAAAATACATAATGCACTCATAAACTTCAAGAACAACAACAACAAAAATACAGTAGCTGCATCAAAACATGTGTAGAGATGAACATACCTTTCACAATAAAGACATACAGATGGTCTGTAGGCATATGATAAATTGCTCATAACCATTTGTTATTAGATAAATATAAGTCAGAACCATAATGAGATATCATCACACACTAGGGAGAATGGCATATACAAAAATAGAAACAACTAGTGTTGGTAGAGATGTGGTTTGGTAAGGAGACCTCATTCTCTGTTAATGGGAATGTTGTCAGATTCAGTCGCTATATGAAAACCAATGTGAAGATTTCCAAAAATAAATTCATATTCACAATTTTCTTGGCACAAAGCAAAAAGCAAAAAGAATTATTCTAGAAGATATATGTACACCTATGTTCATTATAGTGCTTATTATGATAGCCAGAATATGAAGACAACACAAATGTCTAATGACAGGTGAATGGATTGAGAAGTTGTAATATATATGTATATATATATGTATATATATAATGGATTATTTTGCCGTTATACAACATTATAAAGTCTTGCTGCAAGACCACTGTAATATCAATGAAACTGGAAGGTATTTTATTAAACAAAGTCAGAGGGAAGATGCATACTGGATGTTTCAGACCTTTTTTTATTATGGGATTAAGGGAAGAATCCAGAGTGGTATCAGGGTGATTTGTTAGGTTAATGGTGACTCTTGGTCAGTCTTAGTTGTTGAATGCAGGATGTGAGACTGCATTCCTAGAGAGTTTTAATATATAATTGTATGGAATCTGGGAGGGGTGTGTCTGCCTGAGCAACCCTCTGGGCTGAACGGCTTGGGCTGATATTTGACAGTTTTCCATTGTCCTGGTTCCCTATCTATCCTACTTGTATTTGCTGGGGAAGGAAAGAGCTGGAGGTGTGGATATTTCTTGGGCTCTTTTGAGTCACTGAGCTTAATGTCTGTAAACTTGCCAAATATTAGGGAGAAATTTATTTTATGAATTACAGAGAGGAATTTAAGAAACAACTTCATTACTATAAACCTAGCTCACCCTTGCTAGCTCACCCTCATCATGACAGCATTGTCAGAAGTTGCAGGCCTGAGGTAAAAGCCTCTCTGAAAAGTGATTTACAAAGTGAAAAACATCAGTTTGAAAAGTGAGGGTATACAGTCAATTATACCCCAAAGCAGAAGACTCTGGTTATATTGTATGTATGATTTGTGTGTTTGAGAGAAGGAATGTTGGTGACATTTTCAGTTGTAGGGCTAATGTTGCAGGGCTGAACTAAAACAATATTAGATAAAATATGCCATACAGTGCATTGCTTTGTAAATCACAGTGCTTTAATAAAATAAAATTTATAAAAATTATATGTCACACAGGGAAAAAACTAAACCAAGCAAACAGCAATAGCAGTATCAGCAGAGAGGTTTGCAGATGAGATTGTTATTTTTTCTTTTTTATTTTCTATATAACAGCCATTATTTTGCTCCAAGTTTAAAATTCAACACTGCAAAGTATTCCTGATGGAATCCTGGATAACGCTGATGTTTCAAGCGAAGAAAGACACAAAGTACAGAATTAATGTTTACAAAGATCTGAAACCTCAGGTAGGTTCCTCTAATGAGGCCAGAAGTAAGATTATTGTAGCTTCTAGATTCTCTCTGCCCACAGTGCTGTTCTGTAGGTTCTCAGTGAAAGTGAATGTGGATTTTGACTACAGTGGCAACCAGTTGTAGGACTGGTGTGTTGGCCAACTCTTTCTAGAACAACCATACTACAGACTGCTCTTATTTTCTGGCTCCCTTTCTTTCTGGCTCCCTTTCCTTCCTGGCTCAAGATTTCATCTACTGTTGGATATTATACAGAGGACACATAGTGGTGAGGAGTTTTCCAGGTAGGGGGGTCCCTGATCCAGCTGTCCACCAGTTGAAGTCACTGGAATGAATATATCAGACTTCATAGGAATAGCTAGTCCTTTTTATTCTGTCTTTGTGATATTTGAAAACTTGGTGGATTAGAGCCTAGTTTAGAAGGTACTTTAATACCTGTTTTATTTATGTAAATAGCTGCTGAAAGCCTAATTGCCAGGCCTCAAACATAAATCATATACCTTCAGAAAGTCCCTTTTAAGTTAGGTAACTAGAAGAGGACCACAATGATGAGATAAATGGAGAGGAAATAGTTTGCCTTAGAGATCTGAAGTGAGACTTAGAGTTCTAGTTGCTGAGGGCTATAGTACTACTCCTTGTGACTCTTAGATTGTGAATAGTGAACTACAGTGAAAGTCTTGCTAGGAGGCAATCAGATGTTATCTGATCTTGGATTGCAGCACAGGTCTTTGAAATTCTGACCTTCTGAAGTTTCTAGCATCGCCCTACAGGCATTTAGGGAGACTGGAGAGATGGTAAAATGTCTAGTTGAATTTTCTTTCTAACCCCAGGCAAAATGTTAGTGAGAACATTGTAAAATTGTGGCCTGGACCCTGAAATCTAATGAGAACTCAGTAGACTGTTTTACTAGATGTTTTTTAAAATTCTGTGATGTCGGAGCCCACATTATTTCTGCCATCCTTCTCCAAACCCTTTGAGAATCTCTCCAGCAACCAAAAGCACTGAAATACCTGAAAAAAGTGTTGAGGTGCTGTGGTAATGACTGTCTGTTGCTTAATGTAGGGTATTGTGGTCTTGGGTCCCAGAAGAGAATGGCCCATCTAGCTAAGCATATAGTGCATTAAGTATTTTCTTATATCTTCCATTTATTTCTAGTTCTAGTCAAACCTGAAATCATAGACATTTATGAAAACAAACAAGCTTGTATGTTTGCTTACCAGCATTGTCTGTCTTTCTCATATCCTCTAGATCCAATTCTGATGATTTCTGACTGATGATGTTATAACAGTGTCCAGAAGTTCAACATCACATTTTTGACTGAACATACTCCAGTTATCACCATCACCATGGATACCCGGAAAGATGAAACTGCTCAGACTAAAAGACCCACAGCCTCTGGGGAATCCCAGTGCCAAAATGAAGATAAAGGGGCCAAAAACAAAGTAGTTGAGATGATTGAAGGGACCATGAAAGAAGTGTCAGAGTCACCTTCATCTGGCCCAGGTAGGCTAAAGAAAACTGCAATGAAACTCTTTGGCGGAAAGAAGGGTATCTGTACCCTTCCTAATTTCTTTGGAGGGAGCCGAAGCAAAGGTTCTGGAAAAAGCCACACTAAGAAGGGCCTTAGCCAAAGCAAAACTCATGTTCGCTTGACTGAAGTAGACGAAGTCCCTGAAGACATTGTCAGCGAGGGAACAAGCTTATCCATCCCTTTGCTTCAGCCACCTTGCCAGCTTCCTAGTTCCTGGAGTACCCACGAGACTTTAGAGGTAGGCTCCAGAAGCAAGATACCTGTGACTAGAGCTACAGAAAAGGCTGCGGCCAATAAAGTTTCCTCTGTATCTAAGCCAAAAAAAGGCCTAAAAGGGTTTTTTAGTAGTATCCGTCGTCACCGGAAGAGTAAGGTCTCTGGGGCTGGACAAATTGAGCCAGGTTCCAACGAGTCATTAGTTAGAGTGAGGCCTCATGAGCATGTGAGTTCAGCCCTTCTGAGCCATGCTGAGGAGTCCTCCCAAGTTCTCAAAAAGGAAAATGCCAAACTCCAACCATTTCCTGAGCCAGAAGTTTCTTCAGCACCACAGCCTTCTCTAGCAGCCTCTGAGAAGAGAGTCTATAAAGATACAGAAAAACCCATGGAGGCCTGTGTCTTAGCACTCCTGCAGCCTAAACCTGCCCTTAAATCTAGTGGCCTAGAGGAACCACATAGCCCAGAAGCAGGGGAGAAGGTGATGGCAGGAGAGGTAAATCCATCCAGCAGTCCAGCAGGAGACCAGCTGAGCCTTATATTTGGTGATGTCACATCTCTGAAAAGCTTTGACTCACTGACAGGTTGTGGTGACATCATAGCAGAGCAGGACATGGACAGTATGACAGACAGCATGGCTTCTGGAGGCCAGAGGGCCAACCGGGATGGGACCAAGCGAAGTTCCTGCCTGGTGACATACCAAGGTGGTGGGGAGGAGATGGCCTTGCCAGATGATGATGATGAGGAGGAAGAGGAATTAGAATTAGAGATTGAGGAAGAAGTCAAGGAAGAGGATGATGACTTAGAATATGTGTGGGCAAGTACTCAGATGTATTCAAGGTCCAATTTGAACCTGGACTATCATTCCACTACATTCCCAAGGCATCCTGGTTACATGGTCCATGACCCAGTTCAGTTTTATCCTGACCTAGTCCCTGGGGATCTTTTGACACCTCAGAGTGACCAGCAAGATTCTGCACCCAATAGTGATGAGGGTTATTATGACTCTACCACACCTGGATTTGAAGATGATTCTGGTGAGGCTTTAGGACTTGTCCACAGAGATTGCCTGCCCCGAGACAGCTATAGTGGAGATGCCCTTTATGAGTTCTATGAGCCAGATAATAGTCTTGAGAATTCTCCATCTGGGGATGACTGTATTTATGACCTCCATGGTCATAGTTCTGAAATATTTGACCCCTTCTTCACTTTTGAGCCCTTTTCTTCATCACGGCCACCTGGTGCAATGGAGACAGAAGAAGAAAGGCTATTAACCATTCAGAAACAGTTGTTATATTGGGAGCTTCAGCGGGAGAAGCTTGAGGCCCAAGAGGTGTGGGAAGCACATGCTGGAGAGGTTCTCACCAACGAAGCCTATACCCAAGAAACTCATGCCAGGGGGCCCCATTCCCGAGAATTGCATACTCTTGAAGCTTACGTCAGAAAGTCCCAAGTCCAGGAGGCCTATGACAGGAAGGGCTCTGCTAGAAATGGACATATTCAGGATGCTCAGGTACAAGAGATCCAAGTCTGGCAAGAGAAGCCCGTTGAGTATCAGGCAAGACATTTTGGTTCATCAGTGATGGGTCTGGTGGTTGCAGCATCCGGAGCCTCGCAGAGTACCCACAGGGGGACCACCTCTGCTTTCCCTGCCACTGGCAGCAGTGAGCCTGACTGGAGGGACTTTCGTCCTCTGGAAAAGCGTTTTGAGGGAAACTGCTCCAAAAAAGATCAAAGTACCTGCCTCATGCAGCTTTTTCAGAGTGATTCTATGTTTGAACCAGACATGCAAGAAGAAAATTTTAGAGGGTCTCCCAGGAGAGCCTACCCTACATATTCACCTGCTGAGGAACCAGACGATGAGGAAGTTGAGAAGGAAGGAAGTGCTACTGTGAGTTTCTCACAGGCCCTTGTGGAGTTTACCAGCAATGGAAATCTCTTCTCCAGCATGTCCTGCAGCTCTGACTCTGACTCATCCTTCACTCAAAACCTCCCTGAGCTGCCTCCCATGGTGACCTTTGACATTGCTGATGTTGAACGGGATGGGGAAGGCAAGTGTGAAGAGAATCCTGAGTTTCACAATGATGAGGACCTTGCAGCATCCTTGGAAGCTTTTGAGCTGGGATACTATCAGAAACATACTTTTAACAATTACAGCAGCAGCCGTTTCTACCAAGGCCTGCCCTGGGGTGTGAGTAGTCTTCCTCGATACTTGGGACTACATGGCATGCATCCTAGACCTCCACCTGCTGCCATGGCCCTCAATAGAAGGAGCCGTTCACTTGAAACTGCAGAGACTCTGAAGCTAGAGTTGTCTAATTCCCACCTGGCCCAGAGTTATATGGAGTCTGATGCACTTCAGGCTCAGCACGAAGATTCAGATGAAGAAGAAGAGGAAGACTGGGGTCGAGATAGTCCTTTATCCCTCTATACTGAACCCCCAGGGGCCTATGACTGGCCTACCTTGGCTCACTGTTCTCTAGCAATGGGGCCAGGATCTGCTTCAATAAGTCCCAACCAGTTGAATAGATCTACCAGCCAGTTTTCATATAGGCAGGGAACCTGTTCTGTGTCTCCTCTGGCCTCATCAGTGTTGCTATCAATACCAGGATCAGAGCTAAGGGCATCTGACGAATCTGGGCTTCAGATAACTCATCCTTCGCATCTACCCGTGCCCATGGGTTGCTATAACCTCCAACCACAGGCCTTTCAGAGTACAAGGGCAAGACCACTAAATGTGCTTCTGCCTGTTGATGGGTCCAGTTGCTCTTCTCATTCTGGAGACTACAGTCATAACCTGCCCCAGACCAAGCCTGTGGGTATTAATCGTGGAATCCCTCAGTTGTCCAGGGTCCATCCTAAGTCTCTGCAGCCTCAGCCCATTCACTACAGGGCTTCCAACTTTGATCTGTCAAAGGAAAGGGCTAACCAAGTTGCCTCTTTCCCCACCACCTAGCTGAGTAATCATCATCTATTTTAGAGTCGGGGCATGGGGCCTGAGCATGGGGAACAGGAGTTGGGCAGAGGGTGGGGGGGTTGCCTTTAACTTGAAAATACTTTTAGCCAAGGAAAGCTTATATGAGTTTTTAACTTTGTTTTCCCATGTTTCTTCTCTGCTATCTATTCTAACACTCACCTCAAGTACATCTGCCTTGGGAAGCTGCTGCTGCTACTCTGACTTTGCTTTTGGGTTTTCTTCTTGTGACTCATGTAGGGTTTCAGATGCTGTAATTTTGTGCCTCTTCCAGTTCCCAACTTGGTGATTATACGTATAGCATGTATCCTTGACAAAGGCTGAATCCTTAGCACCCTTTGCCAACAATACCCCACCCTCTCAATTTAAGGAACCACTGTGCATCAAGGTCTGTACTGACTCCTAATTGGGAGCAGGGGTCTTGTTTGCTATTAGTAATGTGAAATTATGGTACTTATACTCCCCAATCTCACATCTTTCTTCCATTTGGTTTTGGCATACCTGATACAATTACACCAGGTGACTATAATCTATTTATCCCAGTTGTTTGAGATAGCATGTGTCTCAAAACCTCTTGCGATAGATTTTGGTTTCATAACATATGGGAACCTTTTAACCCAGTCTCCTATGGATGGAATTGAAAACAAATGCTAATACCATTAATGGAGCAAAAAAATTATTTAGTTGCGAGCAGAAGATAAAATGGGGTTCTATTATATATATACGGCCATATATCTTGAGCTCTGAAATTATAGTATTTTCCCTTCCTCTCAAGTCAGATTTGCAGATGCTTTTGAATTCTTTTTGCCCTGTAAAGGAAGTTTTTGTGGTCTCATCACAAGGAACACATTTTTGTTGTTTTAGGACCTCACCTTCTGGCTGTGCTAAGCAGTCCCTCCTGATAGGGCTTGGGGGACCTAATGGCAGGACAGGAATTAAATCAGGATTGGCTGTATTCAAGGCAAATGCTCCACCTGATGTATTATCACTCTAGCTTGAACACATTCTTTTCAATGAAGAATGGCCTAAATTATGCCTAATTGTTGGTGTTGAGGATTTTGTTGGTTTCAGGGAAAGGATAGGAAAACTGCTTGTCTATCTGTCTCAGTCAAAAGGAGAGAGCACTTCACATTGTAGAGCTTGAGACACCCTAACTTCTTATATAAAAATGCCTTTCCTTAAAAAGTCTCTTAAACTTTACCCACCCCTATATTTAAATGCCATAAAGAAGCTGTAGGTTAACACTGCCAAAATACAGGATTCCAAAGGCATCTTAGACTGTTTATCCAAGTTATCTTAAGAGAGCTGTCATTTTCCAATTAACCAAGTTCTTGGCATAGTCATAGGACCAAGCTTCTTGAGAAAAATGACTGATCTACTTACACTCATCCTTGCTAAACTTCTAAAACTCTGATTTGCATATTAGTTGCAACCCTATATGGAATTAATGAATCCTTACTTTGTGCTATGTTCACATAGATTTCATGTCAAACTAGTTTGAAAATGCGAATGTGATCTTAGAATTATTTTCAGGAAGCCATTGCAACAGGGTAATCTTACCAGGCACAACCTCTCACTAGTCACTAATATGGGTCTACTCATCCTAAATTCCTTTTATTAGAAATGAAACCTTTTTATTGGAGGGTCATTTCCAGCAGTACTCAGAGTCACTCTCAGTAGTGCTCTGGATACTGTGCAGTCCTCTGGAATGCAAAGCATGTGCTATAATCCACTGGTCTATCTCCCTGGACCAGACTATAGAACAGTTTTGCTTGGATATATTGGCCCAAATTATGATTCTGCCCCCTGTTCCTGCTCTCAGGCCCCCACACCTACCCACCTCCATGCCTTTTAAGAGAAGAAAGAGGACAACAAATCTCTTGCTTGGGAACAGATCCTGTGAACTCTCTGAATCTAAGTGACTTTGTGGACAAATTAATTCTTAGCTAGAAAATGTGTTTGTACTGGTCTTTGTCACCATTTGTTAGGTTGAGGTTGGGCCAGTGCCCCTTTTCTAAAAGAACAGATGGATTGATGGAAACTACATCTGTGGAAGCACCATAAGTTTGAATGATACAAAAACCATCCCTCAAGGGACCAAGACCTGCTCTGCAGGATGACTTTTTCTACACTATGAAGAAATTCATCATGGATTTGAAAAGTAAAAGAGGGTAAGGAAGTTCCTTCTTCTATTACAAGTTTTTAAGGCAAGAACTATCTTGGTCTTTCACTAAAGCTGTCCTGGAAAGGTGGGACTGAAATTGGCCTGTATGGCAAAATGTCTACACTCACCAAATGCCTTTACAAATGGGGAAAACCCACCACTTTCCTCCTTTATCTCATTTCCTTCAGGGCATTTTGAACTCCTTTTTTATGTGGACTGTGCCAACTACAGCAAGCAGTAGAGCTATCACCAGCCTCTAGAGCCCATTAGGCCATTAGACTATTTGGGAAGAAAAATAGATATTTAGCCCTAAGCAATAGGGTCAGAGTTATTCTTAAGGAAAACATGACAACCAGAGATACTGTCTGAGGGGAAGAGTCATAGCTGTGACAAACTTTGGATTTTTCAAAGGTAGAGCATTGTAGAGTGGCACATTGTTTGGACACCATTTGCTATAAGTACATTCACTATCCTGGCCGTTCCCGGTAAAAATACACGTGCTATCAGAAACAGTAAGGGTGCATGGCTTCTGAAACAGGCTCCTTTGAATCTGATTCTAGTTCCAAGTGTTTATAGCCAAATCCCAACTGCAGCATGGCAAAGGAAGAAATACCAAGCTCATGACAAACAGTGATAATAGCACAAGGTGACGCAACAGAGCCAGAAAAGTTCTAGGCCTATTCCCAGTTAGTACTTACTTTGCTAATACCAATTACGTCCTAGAAAACACATGTCAATATCCAGTCTATAATACCTAAGTTAAATAGTACATGAACACTATATCTCCATTGTAAAGTGCTGGAATCTTATCTAGTGTTAGCTTTGATCCAAATAATTTTCAGATGGATGGCCCTTAGGGACGAGTGACTATTAATGGAGGTCACCTAACAAAGTTCTCCCAGGGTTTCTAGTTTCTCAGTAATTTAGTATCTTCAAAGAAACCATTGGGACCTATTTAGGCCTGACCTGACAATTTTCACTCAGCTTGGTAACAGTCCATGAGCCTCCTGGGCTAAATGTTTTGGTCAACACCTGTCTTCCTCCTGTCTTCATGCTATACCAAGGAGATGAGTAGCTTTCTATACTCAGTATTTTGTCTCTCTTCCTCCTTCCAACAAAATTATTATCCTTGCCAACGCCACCAATCGACCTTTTCTTGGTCCCCAGGCTCAATTGCTAGAAGGCATGGATGGTTTAGTAGGGAGACTTCCCAAGTTTATCCAAGTACATGTTGTATCCCAAGTTTTTTTTAATATATATCAAAGCCAATTATCTATTTTTGTATTATTTGCATTTTGTATTCATGGAGAACAATGTTTATCAGTTGTTTTTCTGATATATTTTGTTTTAAAGTGGTGCTGTTTACAGTTTTAAACCAAACAAAGATTTAAAAAATGTTGCTGCTTGTGCAGAGGGCTGGCATCTCAATTGCCCAGAGCCCTCTTTCTCCTTCCAGTACTGATACATCTCACTGTCCATCCTTTGTCTCTATGATAGGGACAAGCAGAAGATATGGGTATTGAAGACAAATGCTGGGTGACACAGGCATGTAGAACCTGGTAAATAATATGTTTTATGGCTTTTTTTTTTTTGGTTTTGGACCTTGCCCCACCCTTTCCTATGTATAGTCCTTTTGAAAGCACTCATCTCCCTCTCCTGCCCTTTTGTATGATTTTTTTAAATACAAGTACTCATGGTTTGCTATTTTTCATATTAAATTTCTCCAAACAGACATCTGGGTCATTATATACTTAATGGGGTGGGCAAGAGTTTTCATCTATGCCCACTCTCTCCAGGAAGCTTTGGGAGACAGATGGCAGTGATGCTTAAGTCACTAGGAATTGACTAATTGAGGGATTCCTTACATGGGACTTTTCAGGAGCTTAGTTGATTGTGAGTTTACTCAAAAGATAAATTTATTCTTGTTGCTGCTTTAGGATAATTTCTCCCATTATCCCCATTGTTTTATGCCTACACTGCTCCAACACACAATTGGGTGGTACTTTGGTGAACAGTGACTGTAAGGGTGGTGGCTTGCTGGCCATATCCCACTGTTATACCTTATAGTCGCTCCAAAGAAAATCTATATGGCATATCTATGTGAAAGGGTTGGAGCTACAGAGAGGTGGTACATTATTATGGTTACTATTGGTGCTTACATTCCCTGCTGTATAATGAAGGAAGGAGGGAGGAAGAAACCAGGAACTTATATTTAGATCATGTTAAATAAAATGGCTGGGGGATGGGAAGAGTGAATAAATTTTAAACTAGTACCTCCCCAATCCTTTCTCCTACTGACATCCTGATATGTTGATACAATGCCTGTTTGTAACAACATATTTATCTTGATGATTGCTAATAAACTTGGTTCAAGAAGAGCCCTCCCCTCCAGTTACTAAAGTGCATTCTTGTTTATTCCATAGCAATGTGCCTATAAACCATGTTTAATTTGGTTTCTCCTGATGGGAAGTGGGGAAAGCAAGAAAGCAAGATAGAGTACCTGCCCTGTTGCCCCTGCACCACAACCTCTTCACTGGTCCCCTGAACTAATAAAGCCCCCTGCTTCCCAGCTCTCAAAACCCAGGACACATCTCTATGGTTCCATTATGATAACACTGGCCTGTCTGATCATCTAGGTGTGTCAAGGTCTCTGAACCTCTTCCTACCTCATTGTCCCCGGACAGCAACCTCTTCCTGGGTGCCTGAAAAGAGGAAACCCCGCTGCCCACTTCTTGAACCCAAAGCTGAGTGAATGTGTTAATTACACCACTTCAACCCGCCAACTATAAAGGTTGTTGATTTAGAAACCTTTCCTAAAATATGTCCATAATAATTTTGCTATGCAAACAGGAATATTAGATAATCACCTGAATGGCCACTGAAACAGCATTTTAAAGCCCCAAGATTGTTAGATTAACAGATTAGTTGGAGTAACAGCTTGCTATAAATCATATCAGTCCTCAGATATTGGGAATCTGAAGATCAAATAACAGCACCAACAGATATTTAAGATAAATGGAGGGAGGGAATCATTTGTGTGGCAGACAAAGTGCAAGTCCCAGCAAATCCACCTCAAATAAAGCCTCAGACCTCATTGATAAGGGATTTAAATCAATGATCCATGCAATTGCCATGAAATAGAGCAGTCACTGGAAGAAAAATTCAACCAACTCAAAGATGAACTGATTTAGGATATCAAAAAGTCCCTACAAATGAATTAAAGGCTTAAAAAAATACAACAGCAAGCCACAATGATTCTACACGCAAAGAATCATGTCAGTGATATTTAAGACAAAATACTAGCTATCACCAATAATGAAGTGAAAAAAGAAAAGAGAAGTAAACGAATGGAAAAGAATGTAAGGTTTGTGATA